ATGTGAATGCTGGAATCTTTTTTGGCAAAGGGAAAGACACCCTGGAACCAAGAATTCATTGGTAGCAATGGAAGAATTTAAGTTTGTTTCACAGACGACAAAGATCTCATGCGACTTTTCCAAGAGAAAATATTCTTCGTTGCAGAAGTTGGAATGGATGCCACAAATATTGGAGAAAGGAACATTAATGGGGTCGGTGGTATTTTTAGCTGGTTTAGTTTTATTTCTTTTTCTTGTGATTTCCATGAGATATGTTTTGAGGAGAGAGGAAAAAGACCACCATAATTATCACTGTCTGTCGTCAATATCAATACAAACCAGCCAGTGCGTAGCTGAGAGTAGAGCCTAACCTGGCCTCAGAGTTGCCTACTGGAAATATATGCAGGAACACCTACCCATGCGTGACACGGCACTACAGATACCCAGATATTATGCGACTGTTGATCGGAGCAGCCTCTCTAACCGTTATCAAAGAGTTCCGGCTACTAACGACCAGTCGGAATCAGCAAACTACCAACCCGGTACCCTTATAATGGAAAGTCACAGACATCGGTTAGTCTGATCATCAAAGATTCAAGAGAGTTGTGGCCCTGGCAGGGGAAAGAAAGAGAACCAGTAAACCATACCCTGAACAGAGAATAAGGGATGAATCTCTACACCTGTTCAAGACATAGAAGGAGTGCTCACCGGATAATAGGTGAGCCTATATACTCCTATTAAACTGTTTGGATTAAAAATAGAAATTTTAAGGTACCTTTTGTCTAACGCTTCATCAGTAGAAAAATCGTCGGAATTAAAACTACTTAAAGGAAACAAACCTCATTACAATAGAATTAAGACAGACAAGGGGGGGATGGAAAAAATTAACTTGCACAGAACAAGACAAAGACTCGCCGAAGATTGCCATTTTATGTTTCAGCTCGGTCCTGCCTACATAGAGTCCGTCGAGTCGTGTGGATAGCAACTACCTCAAAGATGTTAAGATCGTGTTTCGTCCGAGCCCTGTGCAGCACAGATGAGATCTCCGCTGAATAATTGAACCTACAAGTGAGAAAACTCAATAAATACTCCCCGATGGCAGACTCATTTACCTGGATGCTAATGGAGCGTCTACGTATAAAGCCAGATACGTGATATGCAAATCGCACCTTCAGCCGTTGGATAGTCTTACCCACGTAGTCGGCCTCACACCGACACTTAAAACGATAAATAACAGAACTTTGTTAATTGATGAGCATCATTACGGACAGATGTGAAAGCACTCCTAGTAGCAAAGATGATCCGTACTACAACAGAATTGTAAAAGTGCACGACAGTTGAGGAGATTTTACCGGCGCATGATTGACTATACGAGCCAAGCCAAGGTCATTCCATGTAGATCGGACACTTAGGTAGACGCAATGTTTTAATTTCATTAAACATAGACATTTTAAGTCCAATGTTTGATTTTGATGACACCTTCTGGATAACCATTGACGAGAAAATTATTAGTAATTTCCTAAGTTCGTACTCTAAACATACCATCAATGCACAATGAGTAAGTATTTTGCCAAGGTTAATTTTCCTAGAGTTGGGAACAAACGAGTTCCAGCTGAGATACGGCCCAGTAAAAGTGTGTTTCATATAAACGCTAGATAGGAAAGAAGTAGGAAGCAGCACGTCTAGGAAAGGAAATATATTTTTATTCTCCACCTCTTTAGTAAATTGTAAAGAGGTGTGGAGTCTATTTAGGCGTTGAAAAACTTGTCTGCCTCGTTATATGATGAAAAATATATAAAACTGTCATCAACGTAACGAAAATAACAGTACGGTTTAGAGACCTTATACAATTGACTCTCATGGAAGCCTACAAAAAGTTTTGGCTATGAGAGGTTTCAGAGGACTACCCATGGCTACCCCATCAATCTGTTGATACATGTCATTATCAAAGCTGAAAGAGAGAGACACTAGCAATCCTTATCAGCTCGACAAAGACGCTCCTAGGAAAAGATGAAAGCTTTAATGGGCCACGATACAAATAGTCAGCACAAATCACAATTGTCTCATCAAAAGGGACATTCGTGAACAGACTACAAATAATATGCGTTGCAATTTACGTATATCAGCCGCAAAGTGGAACGAGTCTGGAGTACAATATTCAGAATAATACTGCAAAACTTCAACCAACCATCTTTGGACAAATAGCTCAAAAAATGAGATAAAAAGCCGTCATCGCTGCTTTTGTACCTTCTAGTAAATACCAGGTGAAATAACAATCCTCTTCCTGGTTCATTCCTACCTGTTCAGTCGTTATAGCCCACAGGAATCACTTTTTCCCATTGTACCAACGTAATTGACGCATCATAATAATTATAAAGTTGTCCTCAGTAATTTTTGTTTGCTGACAAAACGATACAGCTTCTAACAAGTTTGGCTCTCGTGACTACTGACTATCTAAAATAGTGTGTTAAAATAAGAGTAAGTTTTCTATTCTTTCTCTCGTTACCCAGTTTAAAGTGTTATCATCTTCTGTTGATAAAGCAGAATGCTTTGCTCGTAAATTCTCTTCCAATTCTACTCTTGATTCCTCTGCAATTTGTTTGAGTGACCTTTCATTCACACCTGAGTCACTATTGTGTGATATGCATATAAATTTGTCCACGTTTTCTGCTATCATCTCTAAACTTGATTAAACAAGGCATGTGGACTTTTGATGGCAACTTTCCTTAAGAAATGTGCTCATCAACTGAACCCTGTTCTCTCTAAACTCTACAATAAATGTCTTTCTATTTGCTTTCCTGTTTGTTGGAAATCCACTTCCAGTCTTTATGAACGCTGGCGAACTGATTGATCCTTCTGCCTTTTACCTCCTTTTTGCAAAATACTTGAAAATCTAATCAACTCTGTATTGGTTAAGAATCTAACCACGCAGGGTCTTTTTTCAGACAATATGGCTTTAGCTTCTCTAGGTGAACTGCTGATGTGTTAGCGGTTTTTTTGCTGAAAGTATCTATCCAGCTTTAGGTAAGAATGTTGAAGTTCGGGCTGTAACTTTTGAAATTTCCAAGGCGTTTGGCATGATGGTCTTTAAAAGTTGAATGATTATGGTATTTTGGGACGAATTCTTGATCTGATTCAATCTTTCTTATCACATAACGAAATGAAAATTGTCTTGAACACCCAAACTTCTAGATCTGTTTGCATTAATGTAGGTGTCTCGCAATGGTACACGTTGTCCCTAATTTCCATAACATCCATTATGTCACTAGTCTTCAGCTCTGTATCTGTGCTAATGACACTATTTACTTCAGTCTTAATGGTAATTCTGATCGGTTTGATAAGCTAAGATTAGCAGCTGATATGAAAAATGACCTACAATCTGTTGTTAACTGGTGCAAGAAATAACTTGTTAATTTTAATGAAACTGCCCTTTTAATCTTCTAGAGGGTTGTTATATGCCTCCCATCAGCATGGTTGATGCTAACCACGAGGGAAGAGAGTCATTACGCCTTCGTGAGCTAAAGTTTTCTGTTAACATAAAATGGGAAGATTATATTAAATAAATTATTAATACTGTTGCTAGGTAAGTTTGTTTAGTTTGTTATGTTATTTTTCCTTGCCTGAATCTATCTTACACATTTATACGTCTGCCATTCATCTATGACATTGAATATTGCTGCCACATCTAGTCTAGTACTTAGGTTATGTGTTTATAGATTCTTGATAAAATCTAAAGATGAATGTGCAATGTAATCGGTCCTGACTTGCCATCTGTACTTCAGTCACTTTCTCACCGCTATAACGTAGCTACCTAGTGCTTTTTCTATAAATATTTTCATGACAATTATTCTAATGAGTTTTCTTTTTAATACCTAGACTTTCCATATTCTTTCACACTAAGTAACCCCTTGCATGTTAGTGACTTTATTGTTTTACTTGGTGTGAAATTATATATATATATATATATATATATATATATATGAAAACAATGACTTCAATTTCTAATACTGCAAAGCTCTTCAATGAATCGATCCATCTCTGTCATTAGCGTCTTTATTCAAAGAATTGGTACGTAAAAATTAGCCTTCCTCTCAACCAGGCGCAGATAGCTCAGTAACATTTCTGTCTGATGCCAAATCACTTGGGTTTCGATCCCAGTTTGAGGCAATCGAATGTCGAGCCACAATGATGAGCTCTGATACAGCGAAACAATCTGTTTGTGGATGACAATATATATATATATATATATATATATATATATATATATAAGTATACAATTGGTGTATATAAAATAAATTAAAATAACCAAAAATACTATTCTTTAAAGAGTGCTCAATAAAGAGTAGAGCAAATATAATTTATTCAAAAATTATAACATAAATATGTTATAAAACAAACAATTGAAACAAAATGGCTATTTTCGTAGTGATTTTATAACATATTTGTGTTATAATTTTCGAATAAATTTTATATATATATATATATCGACAGAGAGGGGAAGTTAATGAAAGAAGTGGGGAGGAGGAATTTAATAAAAGAAGGGGAGGGTATCTAAAAAGGTGTTATGAGAAAAACTTACGCATATATTTTGTAGGCAGAACAAACATATTCTGATTATATACTGCAGATGTATATTTATGAATGCCGAAGAAAAAACCAAACAAAAACGAAACAAGACATAATGGTATACGTCATGTGTGCAGATTCATGTAATAGATTTGCGCTCTTAACCTATCATATTTTATTGAGTTTAAAGCAATAGCAAGAAAAGACCCACTACCCTCAACTTAACAAAAACAATCCCCTCCCACAAAAAAACAAATAAATAATTTTCAATTAATTTTATTTGCGAAACATTATTTCAGATCAGCTACAATCTAATTTCCTTAATTTCTACTTAATTATTTATTGTATGAATCTAATTGCTGATATTCTCATATCCATTTGAAAAACAAAGTATCGTCCTTTTAATAAATATTGATTGGATCCGATCCATTCTGGATTATTCGTTTATCACTCAGTCAAAACGATTTATTAAAACAAAACAACCGAAGACCTTCTTTGAACCATGCCATGTATCCGTAGACATAGACACAACCCCCAATTTCGTGTCTGGACAAATGAAAATCTTTCATAGTAAGGCACAATTTTAAAAATGATATCTGATGGCATATCTCCAATTGTTTGTTCCACATATCTGTAAAGAAAAAGACATAATATCAATCAAAATATAATACAACACTAAGTAGTTATACATTTAAATTTAAAATCTAATGTAAAAGGCATAAATGATTTCATTTGATTTGGATATCACGAATTTTACAAAAATCTATCAGCATCACCGTCATTGAGAAATAGGCATTTAAATATTAAATTCAACTGGTCAATTTTAATAAGTTAATCGTTAATGCGCAGTACTTACATTAGATGTTACTTTACACCGATCCAGCACTGTATATAGAAGTCGTTTAATTCAGAAATAAATTTCAGTTCGTGTAATATAAAATTTCTCAGTTCTTGCCACCGATAAATAATCATTTACGGAGCTGGGTGAATAAAGTGAATAAGTAAATTAAGAAAGATGTCAATCATTTAGAAAAATAAGTATTTTTTTTTTTTGTTTTTGTCTAAAACACATGCTTATCACCGTTATTCTACGGTCTTCCTAAATTCATATTTACCGCTGGTCGCCCGCTGTTGGACCGCCGGTATGTTCCTCTCGACAATTTTACTATTGGCGGACCACTTGTGGCCTACCGGTGGCTCGCTGGTGGCATGCCGGTGGCTGCCACCATAGGACGCCTGGCATTTCCATCGGCAGCCCGCCAACGGACCAATAGCGGCTCACACACACATATATGTGTGTGTGTGTGTGTATGTATGTGTGTTAATGCATGTTTCATTAAATAGTATAGTTTTGTCTATTTATTTTAATCAAATTCCTTTCATATAGTCTGATAAGCTTAATAACATTATCATTGAAAGACAATAGAAAATCACAATATTGATACATGTTTTTTTAATCCTATGTAATCTTTTGGCTTACATAAGCCATCATCAAAGATGACAATTACATTAAAATAAATTAAACAATACACAGACGTAGCAACAATGATGGTTTGTTTTTGTTTACATGGAAGATTTCCAAGCAACGACAAACACGTGCATACGAGACGCTGGAATCGAAAATCGCACCACGGTCCATGACATCACACATGATCACGCGAGAGTGAAAACGAGAAGTGTTAAGTATGGGAAGCCGTTGGTATAAACCAATGAATTCTGTTATTAATTTTAGGCATTTAAATATATTTGTGGAGTTTTCATAGTTTATTTTGTTCAGGTAATGTTTCAACTGTTCTATGTATATAGCTTGAAGAATTTTTAGTTTTTTGTTTCATGTTTAAGAATAGTTGTGTTTTCAACAAGGATTTTCGGGAATTGTGTATGCAGCTAGGCATGCTGTTTTAAATGCCTAAAAATGTTAGAATTATCATTCAAATGTAGAGTCAAGCGACGTGAAAGCGCGTTTGTGGTGTGACCAACATAAATATAATTTAATCAGTTGGAGATACAATCTCCCAGATGGCACTTGAATTTGTAAACGATGTTGGATTTTTGCAAATCGCTAATGGGAGTGGGGGAAGAATCATTGCGCATAATTGAGTTGAATATACTGGATTTAGTGTAGTATATGATTAACTTTTTTTTTTTTTTTTCGCTAGGATCTGTTGTAGATATATTAGTGTTTACCAAATTTTTAGTATATTTTCATCTTGTTTATAATTAGTATGCATTTGATTACGATATAGAAGATTAATATGTTTCGGATTAGTCGAAGTAGTATTATGTTCTATTTGCTTAGTATTGAGACTTCTAAGAAAGCATCTTATTTATTCATCAACTATATAGTTTGGAAAGCTATTATTATTAAGTGTTTGGTTTATATTCTTTAGTTCACAGTAAAAAGAAATCTGTTTTATGGATGGATTACTTTCTGCACGATATATTAGTTTTTTTATAATTGCTATTTTGTAATAATAAGGACATTCGCTCTTGGAGTTAAGTGTACACGAATTTATGCTGGTAGGTTTTTTATATGGAGAAATAGTAAATTTGCTATTATTTGTGTTTATCAATATATCAAGGAAGGGAATTTTGTTATTAGTAGTGAGTTCATACGTGAATTTAAGAACATAATTATTTTGGAAACGTTTTTGAAGTTGAAGTATTTCATCTGTATTTTTAACTAACATAAGGATTTTGTAACACTATTTAGCAGTTGCGTGAAAATGAAAAGCGAGAAATAATTAAGGCAAGAAGCTGAAATAATTAGGGCGATAAGAACCTATCACGAAAAGACATACTGAGCGATGTAATTTTTTTTGACAAAGAAAATGGTGAAGATTTTGTTTTCGTTTGCGAAAACCCCAAACCACGACAAGCCCACGCCCGGTTTTGGCCGGCGTCCATATAAGCAGAGTCGCAGCGAGTTGGAATGGCAGTCAGAGAGGGTCAGAGAGAGAAGCTAGTTGCAGTTGAAGCTGTTGAGCTCTGAGATCAGCCTCGCAGGAAGCTGACTGAAGATCCACGCATCCCGACTTCAACTTCTAACCAAAAACAATTTATTTTTTAAAGAACGACTTAGACTCACACTACCAAAACAAGTTTTACGAATATCGCCTGAAGATACAGAAAAAAACAGTTTCTTAAAAAAACATCTTAAGATGTTAAGACTCGCCTAACAAACACAAAGTGTCACGAATCCATATTAGCGGTTTGGGAGAAAAACGCAGTCCTGTATTCAGAAACCAGATATAAAAATATTTGTTATTCTTTTTTTAACACATTTGAACTTTTCAAGTTGTTACTTTATTTTCTTTTACATATACTTGTGCGGTATTAACCTTGTTCGGACTCGACTTGCATTACGGCCCGGCGACTGATTGATTTCGTCTACCTAAGATCAAATCTCAACGTGGGTAGGTTAGACTAGAAATCAAAGCAGTTACTTCGGTAACCAGACGTTGGAGGCGAGCTGGGAACGACAAAGTTGATACCGAATCTAACCAGATTCCCATCTCAATCAGTAAAGGGTTAGAACGTCACATTTGGTGCACGGCGGCGGGCGCGGAGAGAGGCCGGTGTGACGTCACAATATCATCAATATATCTTAGGTAGATGGATGTTTTTTAGAATCTGTAAATACCTTATTTTCGAGGTTCGACATGTAGAAATTGCTAAATGTCGGACCCAGTACTGAACCCATGGAGATACCATTTTCAATTGACCACTGTTGAACGACAAGCTAATTCTAAAAACAACGGTCACCTGCGAAATTCAGTAAAATGAATATATGTATAATATATATGTTGGGGCACACCCACCTTCTGACTGATAATGGACTGATCCCTCTACGATATAAGTCAGTGCTACAGAGAGAGAGGGGAGAGTACGAGTTCAGCGTCAGGATCAGCGACAGCAGTCGAGATCAGGTTATCAGTACATACCGTTGGACTGTAGACTTTTGCTATTGTTACTTACTAACCGGCGTTCCTTATTACTAATCACTCTGTTGTTAATTACCTCTTACAATGTGTTTGTCTTTATTCGAATACACACACGCGGGAACACTCCCAACATCTCAACAATATATATATTACATTTAATAGGAATTAAGATTACTCCATGATTATGATCATTTCACCTGACAAATTTACATTGATTTCTAAGAATTTTCAAAACATTTAGGTTAATAAGAAAAAAATAAACTCTTTCTTAATTTTGATTATCACCATGGAGTAATTTTAATTGCTATTGTATGTAATTTATAAGCTCTCTTTGAATAAAACATTGAGCTCTCTGTGTGAATCAGTTTTAATACTTGATATTATTAGGATTCACTTGGATTATATACCAACAGATTAACACTTTTGTAACGTCAACGATTACTCGTTGTCACTTTCGTAATGCTCGTTCGAGTAGAGAGTTTGTAGTTGAACAATGCTGGTGTCAGACACCTTCGAAAAGTACTAATATTACTTGATAAAGTACTTGATTGAGTAATCACCGTATTGATCCGAATAGAGAATAACGTAGAGAAGTGGATAGAGGTCCGTATATTAATAGAGGATAGAATAGGAATAGCGATCAACCTAGACGTCACGCGACTTCCTCTATGGCAGTGTGGTCAACTTAATTTCAATAATGGGATCGCCCGTGTTTGCTCACTGGCGATCTATGTTCAAACAAGTGTCGGCAACGACACTTTATTCATATATATATATATATATATATATATATATATATATATATATATATATATATATATATATATATATATATATATATATATGTGTGTGTGTGTGCATAAAATCAATTTAATAAACTTCTTAATACTTACTAACGTTTCCACTCCATATGGTTATACTACCGATTTTGATAGAAATTTTCACATCGTGCTTATCACGAACTTCAATATCAACGCAGACTGTTATTAAAAAGAAATAAAAAATAAAAATATTCATTATTATACAATGATATTAAATAATAATTATCATTTATTTTAACATATTTTTCAAGTTTTTCTCTATTCGTATATAATAAAAATTATGATGTATTTTAACATAATTATGATGTATTTTAACATATTTTTCAAGTTTTTCTCTATTCGTATATAATACTTTCACGAAGAAAATCCCAGCATTTGTCATTTTTTAAAATTAATGTCTTATGCACGTAATATTTATTGTTAAAGTATAATATTTATTACTCTCTCAATTTCTGGGATGAAGAGTTATCATTTATTTCTGGGATGAGGAGTTATCACTTAATGTTGTTCACACATAATTTTGTGTTGTAATTTCGTCCGTGGCATTTTCAGTATCCTTCTGAAGAGCCACATTTCTACTGCCTCTTGTTTTTTCTTCATCCGTAGGGAGATTGTCCAACGTTCCCTGTCATATATAAGAATGGATATCACTTAGAATTTCAGCACTCTTTTCTTTGTTTCTAACGAAGTTTTTTTCATTATTCATCACCTTGTTTAACTTTTAGAATGCTTCTTTCGCTATTCCAATGTATATTCGGTTAGATTTTTAATTTGCTAAATAAAAGAGGGGAACCAATAAATTGAGCATCTCTCTTTCTAATTATATCCCCCTAGATTGGAATTAGTGGGGAAATTAAGACTTTCTTCTTTTATGTGTCGTGTCTATTTAGGACAAGTACGATTATGGCTCTCCACAAGTCCTTATCCTTTATATCTCTTAGCAATATATGCCATTTTATTCTGCCTCCGTAATCTACTATACATTTGTAGAAGCTCATTAAGTAGGACACTGTGTCTCTTGTTTTCAGTATATTCTGAGAGTATCAGATTATCCAAAACCTCTTTTCTCATTATCGATTGAGAGGTTCGACCGTCTCTTTCTGATTCCAAATATAATTGTCCTTTTTCGTTCTGTTCTCTTTATCACTACTTCGTTGTCCATATGTTCCGTTCTTTGATATTCTCAGCATCTTTCTGTAGATCCACATCTGTTTTTTTTTTGTTTTTTTTTTTTTTCAAGTCTCTTCTTCATTTGCGAGGAAACTGCTTAGCATTCACTGCCATAAATGAGAGATTTCTCAATATTTATTTTCAGGTGAAGGACGAAATAATTCTTGCCTGGGATTTTAAAATGTGTACCTCATCTCTCGACCCCCAAATTTGTTTAATTGAATATCTGAAACAGAGTTCCATTTTTAGTTAACAAAAATTAATGTAAAAAAAAAATAGAAATTTCTTCTCGAAAGGGTATATTTTTATTTTAATTATTCTACTGCAAAGTAGCATCACTGTTGAGAATATTATTTTAAGTTCTGGTCACGATTTGACTTCATATACCCAAAGTCAAATTCTGGCAATGACTGCTACCCTTGTGTGTAGGAATATCCTAAGCTTATTCTTTGATCTGGAAACAATATATTTCCATTCTAAACCCATGTACCGTCCATCCCGATAAATCTCTAATGATTTTTATCAAAAGTAGTCAAATTATTACTCATGTTTCTTTTTTTTATTATTATTTTTTTATTTATTCTTTTTTCTGTTTTTTCTTAATACACTATTTAAGCCGGTGTACAATAACAAATCATTGTAAAGAAAATATCATAAAACAGTAAACAAATGGAAACTTACTACTTAATTTCCGTTTGAAAATAGTAATATGCTTGCAACACTGGCAAGTATTTCCATTCCAAGAACAACTAGTAGTGGAAAAGTCGCCACTGGAGCGGCTCATCTCGACAAAATTATCACTTGTAGCTTTTACTTCAGTTAAAAATTCAGACTGTTCCTTCACTTCAAAATGGCCATTTCCTGACATTAGTTGAGAGATATCTCGAAACATACTTTCAATGGTGTTCTTGTAGGCTGCAATAAAAAGTGTAAATGTTAGCTAAATAAATATACATCATATTACAATTATGAGTGCTAGGTAGTATAACATTTATTGACACAATATTTCTCAAAATACAATGAAATCATTGAAGTCATGCCCTTGGGAAAGACATGACTGCACATTTTCATTGAAATCTTTCACATTGCTAGAACACTTGGCAAAGGTCTTGTCACTAGCATGTGAAAGTAGTAGACAGAGTCGGATTCACTCGAACCAGGGATTTTTCTATTCTAGTCTTATATGGAATACTTGTTTCATATAACATGAAGAAGAGATTGAAATTGACAAGCCACTGGCCTTGCCCTAATGATAATACAAAGCACTCAGTGGGACATCCAAACAGGTTAGAAGCAGAGAATTAGAAAGATCAGAAGAAGAGATTATATAAGAAATTTCAAACAATCGTTTTTATCTTATAAATTAATTTCCCTATATTAGTGAAATTGTTATTTTTATCGAATTCACATACAATTATGCGTAAACTAATCGGTAGTAAATAAAACATTATTAAAACAAGTTAATAACTCTACTTACATGATGCTGCAAAAATACCCCCACATATACCTTCCAGACATTCCTCTTCCACATAATTGTAAGACATTAGTGGCAATAATGTCTTCATCTAGCTAAATTTCTACCATTATGGTTATTTACTAAGCGTAGTCTTTTGTCAACAAAATACCATAAACATAGAGAACTCAGTGCGGATCGGATTCACTACACAGTAATAATGATATTCGAGTTAATATTGATAAACTTTATACCATTATGATGCATCGAGAGTTTAACGTATATTAATAAGTAAAAGACTTAAGGCACGCCCGTGACTGTAGTTTGAGTGGCGCCAAACGTATATCCGATTAAAATGTGTTAATATCATTATGTGTATCTTGCAATAAAGAATGGAGATAATTTTGATATTATGATGACGATGCAAACAAACATAGAAATACTAACAAAATTCTCGCCAATTTTTGTTTTTTAGTCAAATTATATTACATAATAATGCTTTATCTTTTATAGATAAAATCGCGGAAATTATTTGCTAAAACTGCATCAGATGCCTATATTTAGTTTCTACTTTGTTTTAGATAATATTTGTAGACATGAAAATAATTGATGAATTAAAAAAATCTATATTGTTCCTTTTATTAACCCCAGTCTCGTATTCGTTATCAACTGAAGGAGTAATCACTGAACTTTTCAGGAATTATTTTACATAGTGAAGAGATTGGCATTAAATCTATGCTAATATTTAAAGACTTCGGTTTGTATGATAGATGTGTTCTCTGTGTCACGATCGTGCTCAATCGACAAGGCCAGTCAATCTAATTTTTGTTTTGAACATTCATAAAATAGAATAAAACTGGACATTAACATCAGAGGGACCCAGCAAACAAGTGAATTCAAATATCTGGGAAACATAGTTACTGAAAACAGCAAACTAGACAGAGAGATCGAGACCAGATGTCAGAAAGCCAACGCAGTCAGTTAACAACTTGCTCCTCTTCTGAAACATCCTAGCATTTCCATGAGCACCAAGCCAAATCTCATCAACGCCATTTTCCTCTCAACGCTGACAAACCAGTACCAGATTTGGCCCCTAACAAAAAAACCCTTGAGAGGAAACTGATCACTTGTGAGATGAAATGCCTGAGTGAACAAGACCAGGCGAGACAAGATCAGGAATGAGGCAATAAGAAATATGGTAGGAGCAATACCAATCATACAACACATCGAACGACAGAGGATCAACTGGTTCGGACACCTCACACGTATGCCTATCAACCAACTAGCCCTACGAGTATCCACCCTCAGGTACTCTGGCTGGAAAGTGAAAACAGACCAAAAATACGTTGAAGCGACTCAGCGGCAGACACTCTCAGAACCCACGAAATATATCTCCTCCAGGCCACTCGCAATTTTTTAAGCATTTCACCCCAAGCAAGACAGGATGCTACTAGCACGCAATTGGTTACAGAGAATAGGGGCGAGAGTAATGAGGCGTGATAGAGGAAAGGATGAAAAGAAGGACAGAGAATAGACCAAGGCATTTGGAGATGTCGATTTATATTATATTTGAATAGTTGGAGATTATAGCAATCAGGGAAACAAGTAATAGGAAGGAAATTCCACAGACGGGAGGTGCGAAACATAAAGCTATTGGAGTAGAAGAGAGGGCTATATTTAACAGTTTCGACAGTGATATGGTGGGACCGAGATGCCAGCCAAGTAGCACGTTTAAATTCATGTAGTCTGGGAACCAGCGAAAGTAGCTCGTCGAAGCAATTACCGTGAAAGTATTTGTAGAAAAGACAGAGGGAGGCGACGGGTCGTCTGTAAGAGAGCGACTGTAGACGAGAGACCAGATAAGGGCTAATCACATTGTCCGCTGACAGACAACTGTGTCGCCCCGCGACGCCTAACAGCACAAGCGGAAGGAAAAACTGATAAGAAACTCATTCATAAAATATCCAGTTGGGATCTAGAGCATGGAATATTGAGCTCTAATATCATTCGAGATCTCTAATGGTCATAAAAGAACACAGCGTACTGTTTCTATCCAATTTTCTCAATTTCTAGAAAATGTATTGAGATATCCAATTTAGTATGAAATACAACAATATTTTTGATCGATAATTACATTTATGCTGATAAAATGGTACACCGGTAAAATTGGGTAAGTAAATATAACAGAACACTTAGTATTTACCTTCAGATACATTGAAAATAACCAAAGTCAATGTTTGATTTGATACAGATTTTTCCATCCAAATAAAAGATTTACAATGGCTAAAAACTTTACTTGTTTTGTTTTTCTAAGATGTTCTCCAGGCATGACAAATATTTCAGGAATAAACACGATTATTTGAATATATTTACTAAGAAACGTTCAACCTATCGCAGAAAATATTTCTAGAAGAAAATTCTAAAATGTTGAGTATTAACTTCGCCATCTTTTTGTATTCACAAATAAACAAAATATGGAAAGAGAAGAATACTTACACATTTTATTTACCCAAACCATTTTGCCGCCAATCTGAACGAAGAAATTTATGTCGTCGCCCACGAACTTAGCAACAAGACAGGCTAGAATTAAATAAAAAATATGTATAATTACAATAAAAAGATTCAGTAACTAGCCATATTCACACATAAACATTCACACACCCATGCACATATACACTGCTCACATCTCCATACAGAGTACCACACATATGTAGAGACTCATATGTCTGTATACCACATGTATGAAGCTACCCAAAAATTTTTAAAAATCTGAAAACAGTATGGCTATCAAATGTAGTACGGGCTTTGCTGCTACCTTTTGTAAGTAGCAGATTTTGTAGACTGGTGTAGAAATGCTGAAACTGTGTTAGGTTAAGTAATTCTTTTGATTGCCAATTTCAACAAGTGAAATCTATCCTGCTAGTAAATTTAAGGAATACTCGTGTGATATTGTAAATTAGAAATCGTACATAATTATTCTTAAATATCCCATAATCTGGATTCATTCAAAATCTGGCGAAATTTTGAAAATTTAAATAATAATCAGCTACAATATTATTATATATCCTTAAACAAAATTTATTCAATACCATTAAATTATAGTTTTAGATAATATTTTATCTGAAACAATGGAAAAATATAGCTAATGGATTTAGCATTAAAAAGTCAATATGATAAAGGCTTGAATAGTCATTGAAGAATAAAAATAAGTATTCAACTTTGGAAAAATCTATAAGAAATTCCTTTTTAGAAACTTACTATTGCCGGTTAAGTCAAATGCCTGGCAACATTTGAAAGAATTTTCACTCCAATTACAGGTTGCTCCAACGCTGACATTATAACTGTTATCGTCATTACCATCATATTCTCCTATTTGTAGGGAAGACAGAAGGTGATCAATATCTTTCATGATTTTGTCAGCAACATTTCCATTCTTCAGTTCCTCATTGTTCTTCTTTAGTCCATTTGGAATGTTTTTGATATCTGAAAAGACAAATCAGACTAAAAGTATACTCCATGATAGAGATAAACAGACACGTTGTTTTTCTGTTTTGGTTTTTCATAATCTACTAAAGTTCCATAATGCTGAATAATTTATTGAAGTCCTTTATTAAACATTCCTTTTGGTTATTTTATATTATCAGTCGTATGATTGAATAATTAAGTCGAATTTCAAGCTATACGATACAAAAACAATGATAAAAACATTTACAGTTAATTATATTTCACAAGTAGAAAAATAAAAAATCATGTGTTTTAACGTTGGTATATTTCGTAAGAAAAGTAATAAAACATAAACATAGATAATCTAAATGAAATCGGCAGACTATAACCGAAAACCTACATTTAATAATAAAAATAATAATTAAAACAAATTTAAAATTTCAACGCCTCTTCTTAATCATGCGCATATGAAATCATGTCAACGCAAACATCACTTTAAGATTTTCGATGAAGCCTTAAAGGTCGATTTTGCACACACAAACACACAAAGAAAATTTTTGACATTGTCATGAATTTTTCAAAATTTCTCTTGATATATACTATTTTCCCATATATATATATATATATATATATATATATATATATATATATATATATATATATATATATATATATATATATATATATATATATATATATATATATATATATATATATATATATATATATATATATATATATATATATACATATATATATATATATACATATATATATATATACATATATATATATATATATATATATATATATATATATATATATATATATATATATATATATATATATATATATACATCTATATATATACATCTATATATATATATATATATATATATATATATATATATATATATATATATATATATATATGTGGTATGAAATGACAATTGTAAAAAAATCTTAGAATTTACCGACGCGTTTCGTCTTCCGACTTTTTCAAGGCAAAAATGAAATCGAAATGTTTTTGTTGTTATAGTTGCATCAAAAAATCCAAATTTAAAAAATAATATATATATATATATTTAAATATATGCCATTGTCAGTTTGTCTGACTATCGCAAAGTGTGTGAAACCCAGGGTGACAAACTCACATCAACGCAACTAAATATTTTAGCTCTATCACTGATGTTGAGCGCTTTTCAATATATAAATAATATACATGAAAAATGCATATATATATATATATATTCTTGGTTTTATTAACCCCTCAATCTTTGTACCTCGTCTCACTTTAATTGTTTTATACCGTCTGACATGGTTGTTTCATTTTCCCATTTTTCTTTTCTTTTTTTTGTTCTTTTTACGTGTGACTTTTTTCTTTTTTTGTTCTTTTTACGTGTGACATTTTTCTTTTTTTGTTCTTTTTACGTGTGACTTTTTCTTTTTTTGTTCTTTTTACGTGTGACTTTTTTGTTCTTTTTACGTGTCACTTTTTCTTTTTTTTTGTTCTTTTTACGTGTGACTTTTTTTTTTTGCAAAATCAATTGTTATTTATTTTTCTTTTGTTGGCCCACACTTGACTCTACTTCGTTTTTTGTTTTGTTCGAAAATTATAAAAGAAAAAGTTAAAAAAAAAAATCACCGTAATAAATACACGGACAATCTCCATGACACATATATATATATATATATATATATATATATATATATATATATATATATATATATATATATATATATATATGTGCGTGTGTGTGTGTGTGTGTGTTTGTGTGTGTGTGTTATGTATATTTTGTAACTGATTTATTGATTTGTTTTCTACGGCGTATCAATCCTTTACAGGTTGTTTGAAACTACAAAATATTTAAAATATTTTACCCGCAGGTTGAGTAAGTTGACATATATTATCTACCTATCTGTCTGAAGTTATGTGTTTTTATACCTAATATTTTATTATCTAACATATAACAATCGAATATATAGAGACACATTTATTCAAGCATAAAATAGGTAATATAAAACATACCCTTACGTATATAATACAATTAATCACACGCATTTCATTATATTGTCTCCTTGCATAGATCACGGACCCTTTTCACTCCCCTTAACGTATATAAAATGAGCGTCTAAATAATAATTATATATACATGTATACCAAAAACAAATAAAAATATGAAAATTGTTTCCTTACCACTTGCTCTGATGTATTTTAGTATTTGATTGTTGAACATTTCTTCAGTAAGAATGGCGCCTGTGCTGATTCTTAAAACACAACACAGGTGTAATGCTGTCAAAGAAAGCAACACAAGAGCCTTCATGGTGAGAATGGTATTTTCGGTTTTTCTTGACTTTACCTTCTTTTCGAGTCGCACAGCTCCAAAAATGCTTCGTCCTGCACCGACAGAAAAATATTTATATAACCTTTATATATGTACCCGATTATGTAATGCTAGTTGCAATGAGGAAGTTTAAAGGAAACAGCTAACTATAAACTTGGGTTTTACACAATCGCTAAAATAAACTTTTCTCATAAAAAACCTTAACCTGAGACGTAAAACTTCCTTGAGTCTATCTTAAAAATATTAAAAAAATATATATATATATAAATTTAGAATTTCCCAGAAACACTACACAAAATGATCTTTATCCTTCACAGTAAAAAGCTCATGGATATTTGAAAGATTATTTCGTGTTGTTAGGTTTTTTCCTATACAAACAATCATGTTTATTAACATGATTGTTTGCTCAGCATAAAATTGTTGACTCAACATAAAATTGTTGACTCAACATAAAATTTGTCACAGTGACATTTAAAAAACTAAAAAAAAAAACTAAATCAATGCAAAACAAAACAACAAATCAAAATTTCTAGAATGAGGAGTTATCATTATTTACAATATTTATATCGTCGGCACCGGCTCACATCCGATCATCGTGATCGTATCATCTCTACTTATTCCCTTGTCCTTGTTTGGTAGCGGTGACGGAGATGACTGTGAAGGACCAATCTACACCTGAAGAGTCGTGAGTGGGAGTCATAGACGATTGTGGGTGGTGGACATGGCTGGGCTAGTCGAGTCTCTTGACAGCATGTCGCAGGTTCTCTTCATGTTGACGTTTGGACTAGAAAGTCTCAGTATCCCACAGATCATAAAAACAGCCAAACGTATTCGCGATAACCGATGATTAGCCCACCTTTTCTATATACATATTTATATTCATCTTTGTTGTTTCGGCCACTGTGCCCTCCGACCTTTCTCAGGTGTATATCGATCTTGGTAAAATACAGGGAATTTTTAACTGAACCCTTTATTTAATCTATAGGGGTAGATTGTTTTCTTTCTACTGCTCATATCTACTGATATCGTCTAGTTATTTTTTTTTAATTATTTTATTAATTAATTATTATCAGTTATTATTTGCCTGTTTTCACTGAGTACATGTAGACACTGCACGACACAGGGAACTACATAAAATTGTCCTAATGGATAAAACGTTTGTTTGTGAATCTGGTAACATAGTGGCTGTGTTCCCATCATAACAAAATAAAATTCGAAATTATCACTGGATTCTACTTAAAAGCAATCAGAATTTGCAGCCCTCAATATTTACACGAAGAAGAGAAATATATTGAAAACACTTTCAAGACCATCTATTATCCTAAGTATTTTATATTCAATGCGAAACAAAAGTCTCTTAAAATATTCCAAAATAGAAAAGCGGCCTTTCTTGACAAATCTAACGAAGCAAAAAATATTATTCTATCCACTAACTGTATCATAACTATAATTGAAAAGTATGTATCTAAACTCAACATAAAATTTGTCACTGTGACATTTTAACACAATAAAAACTATAGCAAAACAACAAACCAAAACTTGAAGGATTGCCAAAAAGAATTTATTCGAAAAGCCCGAAGTTTAAATAAAAGATTATATGAACACAAAAGAGACATTTTAAAAAACAACACATTAAATGAATTCGTTGCTCATCGTAACAAGACTGACCATAATTTTTACACAGTAAATGACACTCGACTTAAAAACGAAAATAGTTTGCTAAGACGAAAATGTTTAAGAAATGCTTCAATCGCTTTTGTTCATTCACAGTAAATTTGCGTTCACGTTCTTACGGCGTTTAACAATTCTTGGCAGTTCTGTTATCACAGTTGTTGATGAAAACAAAATAAAAAAGAATCTAAATGGAACTGGCTCGATTACATATACCTAAAACACACATACATATATATAAATATACCTAAAACACACACATATATATAAATATACCTAAAACACACACACATATATATATAAATATACCTAAAACACACACATATATATAAATATACCTAAAACACACACACATATATATATAAATATACCTAAAACACACACACATATATATATAAATATACCTAAAACACACACATATATATAAATATACCTAAAACACACACACATATATATAAATATACCTAAAACACACACATATATATATATGAATATACCTAAAACACACATATATATAAATATACCTAAAACACACACGCATATATATAAATATACCTAAAACACACACATATATATATAAATATACCTAAAACACAAACATATATATAAATATGCCTAAAACACACATATATATAAATATACCTAAAACACACGCACACACACATATATATATATAAATATACCTAAAACACACACATATATACAAATATACCTAAAACACACACATATATATAAATATTCTAAATTTAAAATTCACAACTTCTCTCGTTCGTGAGCATGTGCAGTCGCATCGACATAAACAAACCTAGTCTGATGAAGTCCTAATAGATGAAACGTGTCCACGAAAGATTTTCCACTTTGCCATATATCTTTCCAATATATATATATATATATATATATATATATATATCAGTGCATGTGTGTGTGCGTGTGTGTACAGTCCACTATCAAGCCGATGGATATAAAAAATTAAATTATGTAAGATAACGACATTAAGGGGTTTTAATACTATTGGAATTAAGTACTCACCCAGTAAGAAGCGACATGTGCAACAGGTGTCACCTGACCGTCAACCAGCGAATCTCTCGCCCTGCAATGGAAGACATGATCATCCAGCGTTATCCAGCGACTGAATAACTCTCGAAACATGAAATATCAGAACACTAAATCAATGTGGCCAATTAGAAAACATAAAGCAGGAAATATAAAGCAGGTTAAATGTTAATATTTTAGACGTCTATAAAACGAAGTGGGTTAACAATACAGATTTCGCCAGTGACAAATAAAAGATCATATATGCAGGCAGAGAGAAAAATGAAAGAGGAGTAGGACTGATACTAGACATGCTACATGAAGAATTATGCTATTGGATACTGTCTGCTATCTGAAAGAATTCTTGTTATTAAACTGAAAGGAAAGCTTTTCAACATATTCGTCATTCAATTTATGCACCGACAACACAAAGTACAGAAGAGGAAATTGAAAATGCTTAAATCTACGCTAGATAACGCTATGGTTCAATGCAAATCGCAATGAGAGGCCTGAATGCCCAAGTAGGCAAGGATGGAGATTATGAAATAGTTGGCAAATTCTGAATAGGATCTCGTAATGAACGTAGAGAAAGATGGATCAAGTAGTGCACAGCCGATAAGCAAGTAGTACCCAACACTTGGTTTCAATAACACGCAAGACTCATATGGACATGGAGAAACCTAGAATGACAGACGAAAAACAAATTGACGAGATAATCATCAATAGGAGATTCAGGAAATAGGGAGCATCCACCTTCCAGTGATATATAAACTATGGAAATGGAAAAAGTCTGAGGTGGTACACAAACTTTAATATGACAGATTTCGTATTGACCCGAATGTCAAGGCGAAATATATGGACAATGTTAAAAGTAGATATAATAAACAAAATGAGAATGAAAATTCGACGTGGAACACATTAAAATAAGCTTTAGTAACATCATCACTCGAGATCATCCCCAAGGAAAATAGACAAGGTAAAAAAGGATGGATGACTGATGATATTCTCGACATGATAAAAAAGGAGACAAAAATAGTGCCAGGGTACTCCGCGCAAAACAATTAGGAACAAATGCTGGCAGTCTAAAGATGAGTGGCTCAACGAAAAATGTGCAATCATACAACGAATGAGTATCACATATAAAGCAAATATGCATAAAAATAAGCAAACTGGGGAAAGAAATGCTCATGAGCATAATGCATAAAGTCCAATGGCACAATGATATTAGAAAAAGAAGAAGAGGTGGGAAGAATACATCGGATAATTATTCCACGGCAAAAGAGAGCAACCGACAATACACAAAGGAAATATACAACAGTGGCGATATACCGGAAGACCTAAATAGGTCCATATTAACTTACTAAGAAGCCAGATGTAAACGAATCCGAACTTCATCATACAATCACCCTAATGAGCCATGTAACAAAACTTAACATCCGAAGAGAGCGTGCAGCAGAATCATACTGAAAATAGGACAAGAACAGTGCGGGTTCGTTAAAGACACTGGAACAAGGAATGCAATATTTATGATCAGAATGAGATCAGAAAGAACAATACAAATGAAAAAGGTTAGATACCTAGATTTTATTGATTATGCAAAAGCGTTTGATAAAGTATCTCAAAAAAGAACTGTGGGAAAGCGAGAAAAAATGACTAAAATAAAACAATTGCGAAAAGGCTGAAAACATTTCTGTTAGAAAAAGAAAGAAACCAACAGGCAAATTATAGGTTGGAGATACCGAAATCAGGACAGGTCCATCAAGTTAGATATCTGGGAAGCGTATTAACAGAGACATAGAAATCTGAAAGCGCATTGAGATATCGAAAGATACCTTCTAAAAGCTGATCAAAGTACAGTGGAACCTCGATTTAGTTACGAACACTTCCTCTTACGAAAAAATTGTCATATGAACAAAAATTTGTCAGGAAATTCGTTTCCTCTTACGGATTAATTTCGACTTACAAAATTAAGAATGGGCTTCCCGCCATTTTCATTTCAAACTAGATATTTGATATAAATGTACTGTAAATAATTTTAATCTTATTTAAATATACTGTATTTTATATTTTATATATTATATTATTATATATTTTATATATAATAATATGAAACTGTAGTATTATACAGTATGACAATAATTTTTTATGCTGTATTTTTATACTCTACTGTACTCTAATAAATATTTGCAGTTATATTTTATACTGTATTTTTTATTCTTATATTTTTATGTACATAATTATAATATATTTTATATGCATTACTGTATTATATTCTTATACAGTACATATTTCTCTACAATTCCATCACATTAGATGTAGTGTGATGCTACGAGTATTGCATCATCCCGCTTAGTCCTCTTTCTTACCTCGTAGAATAAACATTTGTAGTGTATGCATATTTGTGATTATATTAGTATCAAAAAATAATAATGTGCAAAAATTTATGTACAGTAAGGAATACAGTACATGTACATTACTGAACAGTACAGTAACATGTAAATTTTATTAAAATTTATAGAATTAAAAGTAGATAAAATGTGACAATGCTGAGTTCGTTTCGTTTAATCTCTTTGTAATGTAAAGTGTGTTTTAGTCTAATATACAGTGTATAATCATTGAATTTTAAATTGATATCAAAACAGTACAGTAGGAAAATGTAAAACAAATTTATAGTTTAATTAGAGTAAAATAAAATGTATGAAATGCAGGTACAGCATCCAGTTCAAGTTGATTTGTACGGTACATTTCATCACTGCAGTTTGTTCCTTTACTTTTTTCCATGCAGTTACTGTACTGTACAGTTTAATTTGTTGCTGTAAATATCACTGTAAATTTTCAAATTCAAATTTTAGTGGGTAATTTTTTGATAATTTTTGGTACCCAGGATGCCACCCAAGAAACTGGTTGCTACTAAGAAGAGGGAAAAATATCCGTGCAAAGAAGGATATCATTCAGAAGCACAAAGAAGATACCCGTGTTTCTGACCTTGCCAATCTATACGGACGTTCAGCATCAACAATTTGTACTATCCTCAAGAGAGAAATAAAAAAGCTTGATAAAGCCAAGGGAGGTAGCGTAATTACCAAGCATCATCCAAAAGCCCAAGAAGATGTTGAGAAACTGTTGTTGGTGTGAATGAATGAGAGGCAACTACAAGGTGATTCTGTGTCTGAAGTTATTGTATGTGCAAAGACAAGGGAACTGTACGTAGATTTTATTTTTTTTTTAAATACCAGGTACGTCTTCTGAAAAGGAAAATGCATTTAAGGCAAGCCAAGGATGGTTTGAAAAATTAAAAACAGAACCGGCATCCACAGGGAAGTGAGACCTGGGGAGGTTGCGAGCTCTAATAAAGCTGCCTTGTTTCAGAAGTATTTTGAAGTGTCCGAATATACAAACCTGTACCTAAAAGAATTTTGGAAGGATCACTTCAATATCTTAAACTGCTTAAATCTCAATGAAAAAATCTGGGAGGAAGTCATATATTTATTTACATTATTTATTTATAATCTTTTAAGAAAGTAATATAATTTTGCATAAAATACTATTTTCATTAATATTTATATCAATATTTTGGGGACTTGGAACGAATTAATTTAATTTCTGTTAATTTAAATGTGGAAAATTGTTTCGACATGCGAAATTTCTAGTTACGAATCCACTCCTGAAACGGATTAAATTCGTAGGTCGAGGTTCCACTATATTAAGAAACAGAAAAATATCGTTAGAAACAAGTAAAAGCGTGCTGAACTGTTATGTAGCATCAGTCCTCCTATATTGCAGTAAATGCTGAACAATTTCCTCACAGATGAAGAAAAGACAAATCAAAAGTAATATTGTCCAACAGAAGGATGCTAAGAATACTATGGGCCGAACATTTGAGTGAACAACGACGAAGTTCTAGAGACAGTGGTAACATACTTAACATCAGAAAAAGACAGTTGAGGTTTCTTAGATACATAATATGAAAGGAGGGCTTGTGAAATTTGATACTCACAGGACAGATTGAAGGTGAGAGAGACAGAAAAACAACGCGCAGTCTACCTGGTGAGCATGGGTGAATAAATAGGGTATGGGAGAGCAGGTAAAATAACACAAGTTATTAAGAACTACAAAGGAGCAGTAAATTGTGGAGAGCCATGAACGCTATCGTGAATAATAATAATAATAATAATAATAATAATCATCTTGTATCTCAGTAGAGCGTTTCACGTACATAAACAGGTTTTTCGAGAAACAGGATATGTAAGTTTGCGACTCGCCTTTATTTCTGTTCCGGGTAGTTGAGGGAAGAATGTATATTAAATTCCACCTCCTCAACTACTTATTTACATTCATTCTAATGAACCTACCTTTGTTACTATTATCAAACGTTTCGGCTGTTGTACTTTTTTTACCTTTCTCAGAATTATATCGATCCGGTTTACTTTGAAGGAATTTCGAATTAAACAATTTATTTAATATACAGAGCCGGAGCGTTTTCTCTCACTAACCATCATGGATACCACGCCTTGTTCTTTTTAGTACTGCTCTCACTGTTTCTACTGAATATAAGCGAGCATTAATTGAGCAGTAATAAAAGCAATATTAAAATGAACAAGACCAGATATACATTATACACAATGAAATATGGACAATCTACCCACGTAAGAGTAACATATTACAAAAATTTACACGGATAGGTTAAAGGTTATCAGCGAGATGAGGTCAAATTCCCGACTCGTCAGTTGTATTCATTTTCACACAAATTCTCTTATGAAAGCCATGAACCCGTGACTATACTCGCCACACTGGGTTAAATAGAAGGGTAGACTAGGCGGTCTCGCCTTGAGCGGTAGCTAACCTAGAAGAACTACTGAAAATTTCAAATCTTTAAAATGGCAATGGGAATCACTAGACAATATTTTCTAAAACGTCGTGACAATTCGTAGATAATAAATAAACGAAATCTGTAGAGGGCCATGATCAACTTCGTCCTGAAAGAACATTGCATTTGCAAATTATAGGAATTTTGCTGTTTCACAATATGTATGTTGTACATGATCTTCATTTAAATTACTGCGCTGGGGGACAGTTTCCAATCAATAATGCCAGTGAAATTTAATACATATCATAATCACATGTAGCATAATTAGTATATTTTTATACCCACGTCCTTAAAGGATACTGTACATAAAAGTAGAAGAACGTGTGAAATAAATGCGAGGAAGGATCAGCCATTTTCATGTCCAGAAAATTCAAAATGAGAAAAAAAGAAACAAAAAAACAAAACATGAATAAAATTATCATGTCTTTCTTGACAGAGAATTCTGTGAAAAATTCTAAATTTATTATGGTATTCTTTTGTTTAAAGAAAATGATGTTTGTTTTCTGTACAAGGTGAAAGATGTTTGTCTAAAATCTTTCCTGACAGGCAAACAATCCTGTGTATCACAACAGGAAAAGCTGTTTTGGTCACTCGTTGTAGAAACAGTGTAAGGCCGCATTGTTTGGATCTTCCAGATGATGATCTTTCTTTTTCATTTTACTAAATATAAATTACTAAATGAAATGCATAACACGGAATACGAATGTTCCTACATATTTTTACAATCGTTAATTTTTCACAAGATATTCACAGTCTTTACTGCAGTAAAGATCTGAAGCTTTCAACCTTAAATCGACTTTCTTCATAACAATATCCGTCTAAGTTTCCTTATAGGATTGATATCTGTAGAAATTTATCTGACAATGTAAATATTATAAAGATTATAAATCCAATAAAATAAATAGCATTACAAATTTTATTTGTAAAATATACTGCACAAATATATCCAATGGAAGGAGTTAAAATGTTCTTGGCCTTACCAAAGAGGAATTCTGAGGTTTGTTCATTTGATATTTTGGTAAGTGGATTGGGGAGTGAATTTTTCAACACAAACACAAATGCATGGACATTCGACATGGTGTAATACAGGGATGGGCTAACTTTTCAGTGCAAGGGCCACATTCAAAAATTCACAATTTTATTAGGCCTCATAGTATATTAACCCAAAATAATTAATTTTTAAAATAGACAAAAAGAGGCTTTTAAAGTAAAAAAAAAAAAAATAGAATTATTTTTTATTAATTAATATTTTAAATTACTGTAGAAGATTCACATGAAATGCATTTATTTCAAAAACGGAGTAACTCAGTTTGAAGTACTTTAAAGAAGAAATATTAATAAGTATTTTAAGTTGAAGATTTACATGAAACACATTCGAAAGACAAAAATAACCTTGTTTTAATAAAAAAATATTTTAATTAATTAATATTATAAAGTAGAAAACATTTATTTGAAAAAAAATAACTGCGTAGAGAAAAAAAAAAAATAATTCTTATTAATATCTTAAAGTAGAAACTTCAAATAAAACACATTGTAACTAAATAGATAAAAATTAATTTAGATTTTAAAGTAGAAACTTCACACGAAACAGATTTATTTGAACACAAATTAATTCAGTTTGAAAAAAAAATTGATATTTTGAAGTAGTATCTTCACATAAAAGAGATTTATTTGAAAACCAAAGTACCTCAGCAACAGATGGATTTCAATGACTCAATAAAATTAATGTATCTGACTGCAGTCATTTACCAGTTTATTAAAATTAGGCGTCAAGTTGCTTATAGCAATTATTTTACGTTGCTTGGTAACTTTCTCTTTCAAATTTAGTTTGCCCACCCCTTGTATAATAGTTTGCAAGCTTGTCTCGGTAAATCAGTTACGACTAAATAGTGAGTTCGATCATTACTGGGTGCCCCATACAATCAAGCTTATGCCACATCTATGCTACGCTTAGAAAATTGCCATACACACAAACTTATGTGATAAAAATTACTGTGTCCAATGGAAATTTTTTTCCAACGTATTTTAAAAATATGGAAATTTTATCTTCATTTTAACATTGTTTTAGAGATAGAAGTAATATAACTAAATCAATAAAACTGAAGAGAAATATCTTTACAATTATTTAATTGATCTTGTTAATAGAAATTCTGAAGAAAATGTTAGGACCCCATCATATATTGCTACTTAAAATCCCTTAAATTAGAATCACGTGCACTCCAACAGATGCAAATGATTAGAACATATTTAAGAAAGATTTTGGAGGAGGTTGTCCATTCTGCTTTTTAACTAATAATTAGAGGGGAAAATAGATAAATGCATGTCCCTTCCAAGTGGATTGTGTGAAAGCGAACGCAACAGGTTAGACTGAATTTATTTTAATGTTACTTAAACCATTTTTTCGTAGTCACTGTTACAGTGTTTTCTTTTTTTTCGTTTCTGTAGGCCATAAGGTTTGGAAAAGAAGTTTTTGCATCTATCGTAGGTGCCATGAACACCGCTTTGACAAACTTGAAGCTGAAAAAAGGGT